TGAGTTATAAGGCATTATGTTAAATCATAATAGGTTAATAGTATAACTGACAGTAAGTCATTTAACTAAACTTATAGATTATAGTATAGTGTTAAGTTGATAATATTAATTGTTAAAAATATTGGGAATCAGTGAACTTGGATTGAACCTAGAGTTAACTCAGGAAAGCTTTTTGTATTAATCAGGGTATAGAGCAAAGAGTATAATATGAATGATTCATTGAACATTATGGAAAACACTTTGAACGATTTGTATTGAAATTGTGCACCTGTGACCTTAATGTAAGCACGGCAGGCATCATGGAATTCGAATTGTTTGCTTGGAAATTGCAGATCTCGTGGTGGTCTTGTGATGCAGTTTGTAAAGCACGAAACTTGTACGCCCCCAGTGAGTGATTATCACATTGCTGGAGGGTATAGAAAATGGTATATAAGTTGGAAAATGTTTGAATAAAATCGGCTCCAGTCCTGATCAGACTGTTCCCAGAAGATCTGCCTCCGAGTGGTCTTCTCGCTGTCCAGATTCTCTGGTGCGGGTCCTAACCCACCCTTGGTCAGTGCTGGTCACCGACACTACACTGTGATTGTGAAATGCTGGCTGGACTGACAAAAATAGTTAAGCTATTTATTTAAGTTCATGTGGTATTTAAGAGAAAGCAAAAACATCTTTACAAACACTGTTAAAAAACAAAAAAAACGAAAACAAACAAACATAAAATAAAGCAGTTTCTCTTGACCACAGCCTTGAGATGTCCAAGGGCCTGGTTCAAAGAACCAATCAGCAAATGCTGAATGAACCAGATCACCAGGACTCGGGGGCAAATTACAGCTCCACCGGCTACCAGTCACATGACTCAACCTGGCTGCACTCTCCCCATGTCTTACTATCCCCACGGGTAAAAAGACAGTGTCATCTACATCAGGGTAGCTGTACAAGATGAGACCACCGATGTCAATGTTAGACACATGAAACACTTCACAAATGTCATGACAAAATGACGACTTGTTAGGAAACAGGAGATGCCAGCACTGTCTCAGGACTTCACCTGGATTCTCTCCCCTAGTTCTTCCAAAAACCATGAGAAAGTTCTCGCAGTGTCCCAACCCCTAAACAGAGGCCGAGAGAAGTGAAAAGGCCAACCATAACGCAACTAACGCAAATCAAACCATGATACACAAAGCTGGTGATTCTGGCTAAAAGCAAGCAAGGGCCCCAGAGCCATTCTTTGTGACTAACTCACCTGCAACCTTATTTCTTACACACAGGACTCAAGTTCTTATTTTCGGTTACCCACATGTTCACCCATCAAGCTCTCACCTTCACGTGTTTCCTCCTTTATGCTACATTCGCACGACCCATGTACCCAGTGACTCAGGGACACGGAAGAAACGGCTGGGAACGTCAGGGGCTAGGAAGACCATCCTAAGTTTCAGGAGAAACGTGGGCGGTTCACCTTGTAAAGAAACGCAGCCCTCGCCCACAAACCCTGGGCAGTGCCGGGCCATCAACAAAAACTAGGAGAGGCCGGCAGAGAGCTCACGCCTGCAATCCCAGCAGTCTGGGGCCCCAGGAGATGGAGACCAGCCTGGGCGACAAAAACGAAGGCTCGTCTCTGCCCCCAAAATCAAAAAGCTGTGCGGGCGTGGGGGCGCGCGCCTGTAGTCCCGCTACTCGGGAGGCTGAGGCAGGAGGACACCTTGCGCGCAGGAGGCCGAGGCCGCGGCGACCGCGCTCGTGCCACCGCCCTCTGGCCCTGGCGACAGAGTGGGACCCCGACCCAAAACACCCTCGTCGATATCCGAGTTCGCCTGAGCCACGGGCAGTGGTCCTTCCGCGCTGCGAGAGGCTGCGGGTGTCGACACCGCCACGGAAACGCCCACCGCGGCCGCCACTGTCCCCTCGGCCCCTCTCGCCGCCCCCTCCGGAACCCGCGCCCCGGCGGCTCCTCCCGGCTCAGACCCGACCCCC